CCGCCACTTGCCTTCCAAGCGGCGGCGGCGTTCACAGAGCGATCCGTGCGCATGCGCACGGAACGCTCTTGCACTTTCGGGGGGATTTAAACATCCCCCCGAAAGTTTTTTCAAGTTTTAGGATTTTTGTGCACCCCTGGGGACTGCCCCAGGAGTGCACAGACCTCCCCCTGCCCCCCAAGTGCCCCCGAAGTGCGGATATAGCGATCCGCACGGAGGGGGCAACTTGGCTATTAGATATAGTGATACACAACAACGGAAGCTTGTAAAAAAACCATCATGAGAAGGACATTCAGATGACCTAATTGCGATCATTGTGAGAAATGACTGTCCAGAATGGCGATATCACGGATTCAAAGCGCAAATATCCGGAAAGTGCTTGATTTTCCAGGCGTAGGAAAACTCGCTAGGGAACCGGGAGGATTGCGCGAGTGAGTCCACTTCGGTGCAGGAGACGGATGCGGTCGTCTGATCAGCAATTTTAAATGTGAGAGGGAACGGTGGTGAAACCCGATCAAAATGACCGTGTGACCACGGCCTACATGTGATAATTTGTATGTTGAAGGAGTCTAAGGAAGCTAGAGGGCTGGCAGACGGGAAGGAGAGACTTAAGTCCATCGCTATCAGCCATTCCTTGCTGACAAGGATGCTGTGTCCTCTTGATTAGGGCCCTTTAGCAATCTGTTAAAGCCATAGTATTTTGAAGGTCTTCCTTACTCTGATGCTATTTCAATGTACTTTTGGTCTATTTTGTTGTCTTAATCTATATTGTCCTAAACTATATAAAGACATCCGTCTTTAAGCTTTCTATTGTTTCAGTCTTGTTTTTAATGGGTATTCTTATGCTTCTGCTGATTTTTTAAAGTGCATATATATATCCTGTTTTCATTTCACATCACAAGCTACCGTGGGTGCTATTTTAATAGCAGAAAAATGAAATATATATTTTTTCAAAATAAATGTGTAGATCAAAATCCCCCCTCCCTAAGGTTGCCAACTCTGGGTTAGGAAATACCTGCAGATTGGGGGGGGGGCCTGGGGAGGAAGGGGTTTGGGTAGGGGGGGGACCTCACGGCCTACATGTGATAATTTGTATGTTGAAGGAGTCTAAGGAAGCTAGAGGGCTGGCAGACGGGAAGGAGAGACTTAAGTCCATCGCTATCAGCCATTCCTTGCTGACAAGGATGCTGTGTCCTCTTGATTAGGGCCCTTTAGCAAGGCCCCACCTGGAGACTGGCAACCTTACCCCTTCCAAAATTGCTTTGCCACACACAGGAGAAGAAAGATTGGTGTCTATCTGTTTTCCTTTGAGGGTTGGAAAGGAGCTAGGATAGGGCAATTTTGAGTTAAAAATGGCTGACAAGGAAAGGATGAAGCACCTCCTCCATACCTGTACCAACCATGTGCTCTCCCATAAAGCTCCATCAGGTGTAGTATAACACTTGTGCATCACCCTGACGATGTTCCCTCTAAGTTGTGGAGTCTTGTGAGCAAAAATTCTACTTTGTGAGCCACCGGCATTAAAGTTGTGAGTGAGCAATTTGGCTGCTGCCTAAATTAGTTTGCTCCAGAGCCATCCTTCCTGAGCTAAGACAAAAATCTGTGAGCTAGCTCACACTAACTCAGCTTAGAGGGAACACTGCACCCTGACTGTTTCAGTTACTGATGATCTCTAGTAAGCCCTGGTAATTCCCCTGTCAATTATAAAGACTGTATTGTACTTCAGCAACAGTGAAAATAGTGTTACCATGGCCAGCTTTGCATGAAACGCTCCCTTGATTTCTCCAATTTTCTTGAAGAGATCTCTAGTCCTTCCCATTCTATTGTTTTCCTCTATCACTTTGCATTGTTCATTCAGGAAGGCCTCCTTATCTCTCCTTGCTGTTCTCTGGAAATCTGCATTCAGTTGGGTAAATCTTTCCTTTAAAAGTATTAGAAGGAGCTTTAATGTTTTGCCTGCCAGCTTGTGGCAAATCCTTTAGGTGCAGCAACTGCCATATACTGGATTGTGCTGCTTTGCCCAGAGCTGCCAGTTCACAGCTCCTGTCACTCAGAGATGTATGGGAACTACTTCCTCATGGTATAATTTCTTGTGATTTTGATTTTGATAAAAGTGAAAGCAGCAGAATAGATTGGTTCAGGTTCACCATATGGGTCTCCCTCATCCAGGCTTGGATGTCCTTCCCAGTGCAGGAGTGATTAGGCTGGAAAGATCCACATGATCTGTGGCACCCAGCAGTTTTGATAGTTACAAACATGCTACAGCCATGTCAGTTCACACTAAAGGGAAGCTGCTTCAGTGTAAGGGCAGGAGGCCCATATTGAGTTTGATTGTGCACAGCACTGCAGCCTAAACATCTGCGCACTTTCATGGTCTGAAACTCTTGCCTGGAAAGAATATCCCAAGCACAATATATTTTATGTCCATATTATTTCTTTCTGTATTGTTAGATGCAAAGTGTCAAATCCCAATTTCTTATGGTTGCTCATCATCTTGCCTCTGATTTTTCCACAGTATTTCCACCATCCAACCATTTTAAACGCAACTATTATTCAAGAAGTCGCAGCAAACACGGATGTGAATCAAATGTGGCAGTATGACCTGCTCCCAATACTGATTGAGAGATATCCAGAATCACCAGGGAGCTGGGCTGTGCGTCAGGTGAGATGGAACAGTCTGGAAATGCAGTCCCATCAATGCAGAACTATCAGGGATAAACCTTCCCACAGACTGGGGTGAATGTAACCAGAGGTCATTTCGGGGGGGATTGCGGGGGATCGCAGTTCCCCTGGGTGAGGTACGGGGGGGGGCACATGACGAAGCCCCGCCCCCTGCTTCCGGCCGCCCCGCTTCCGGCCCTCATTCAGCCAGGAGGAGGCAGGAGAAGAGGGAGGGTAAGTTGCTTCCTCCCTGCCTCTCCCCACCCCTGCCTGCCTGGGGCCAGGGAGGAGGCGGCCAGGACTGTTGGGGGGGGGGGGGGTGGCCTTATGACACACTTCCGGTGATGTCAGGGGGTGTGGCCTTATGACACACTTCCGGTGATGTCAGGGGGTGTGGCATATGCTAATGAGTTCCCCTAGCTCTTTTTCTACGAAACGACCCCTGAATGTAACTATCCTCCAAGGAGCTTTCCTCCAGCCTAAGGAGCATTTCCCCAACTTAAGTGGCTCCTCCTACAATGGCAGATAGCTCCTGAGGCTGGAGGAAAGCTTCAAACTTTGCTCAGAGTATTGGTAAGACATGAGTAAGACATGAGTAGAATCCACCCCACTCTCTTCCAGTTTTAGGCGCACTGTTCCTCAGAAAATTACTCACATGATGACCTGTTATGTTCCTGATTCCTGGTGTCTTTAGCAAGAATCTCTTACCACATTTGTACCAGTGTAAAGGCCCTCTCACTCAGCTATCTGCTAAGGGCCTTTCCCAGTGACAAAAAGTTGTTCTTAAGACTGTAATCATATCAGTGCTGATTCAGTGCCAGTAATGTAATATCTCTTTCCCATGCAGCAGATGAGAAGGGAACAGTTTGTTGTGAAGAAGATAAAGCCATGTGCTCTTTTCAGAACAGAAGTGTGTGCTCAAGCACTGCATTTGCAGAGGAGTGGTTACACTTAGGGTTGCGTTGGGAAAATTCCTGACAATTTGTGGTATAGTCTATGGATGGCATGGTCTAGGAAGGGGAGATGCCAAAGCAGCCAGTTTCCTCAGGGGAACAGATCTCTGTAATATAGAAATCAATTGTAATTCCATATGCTCTCTAGGCCCCTCATGAAGGCTGGTAACCCTAGTTACACTACTGAAGAGGGGGATCCAAGTAACGTTTTCTAAACTACAGGACAGTGGGGGAAAGAAGAAGCCCATACTCTTTCAGTCTCTGCAAGAAATACACTGACACTTAAGAACACACACAATTTTTACGAAATGGTGGCAGAATGGAGAATGCAGTAATATCATCATCAATAAGGGCATCACAGACAGTAGCCAATAGGGCCCATGACTTTTGCACAACCCCTCAGTCATCATCCCCAACTATAACCCAGATTGTTTGCTCATATTTATTTCTCCTTGCTGTCCTCATATCCCCCTCCCATATCATGCTGCTGTCAAAGATCTGATTGTAAGCTTCTTGGGACAGCAACCTGTCTTGATGCCCATGAAATTCTGTAAAGCTCCACATACACAAACAGCATTCTGTAGATAAACTACCACAATTAACGGAGTAACCATAGAATTAATTTGAGTTATTGGCTGGGAAGAAGAACTGTATTTCCCTCCTTCTCCTGCTGGGAAAAAGGTTAAATCCCTACAGCGCAAGTACAGTGTAGAGAGTAGAGGCCTAGACTGTGCACAGGCAACAATGGGGTATTTATTGTTCTAAAACCTGATCGTCTGGAAGAGCTATAAAATAATGTCGATCCATCCTACTAGGTTCCAACAGGGAACTTGATGATCTGCCACTGATGAAGAAACAAAATTTGTTTCAAAAAGACAGTCTCTCTTGTACCTAATTATTTTGTTTCCTAGGAGATTTTCTGGCAGATAGCCTAAGCAAAGAAAAAAACAGTGACACGTCAAGTATAGAAATCATTGGGCATGTTCAGGCAAGAATATATTTTGTTATGAGAGAAGGATGGTATCCAAAAGTGAGACTTCTTAGAAAACATATTACACTCTTCCCGATCCACTTCAGCGGGGAGACCAAAATATCTGCTGCAGGGGAAATTGTCTCCAATCACCTGAGGATAGAGTCAGAGTGTCTGTAATCAATCTCCATTCCACTCCCAAACAAAGGATCAATAGCTTTAGGCTCATGGTTCTCTTGATTTTTTATTTGTTTGTTACATTTTGTTCATGCTAGTATGCTCTGAGGGGTCATCCTAAACCTGTCCATGCCTGGATGCTTATTAGCTTCAGAGATGGTACAACAATAGACACTTTCTCTGGAGCTTGAACATAATGAGATTTCATTGAAGCACCTTCTGAGTAAATATACAGAGAGCCAAGGAGTCATATGATAGTCTTGTCTTAATTCCAAGCAATTTTCTCATATTTAATCATGTCTTGATCTTTGTGTGGTTTCATTCTCATGGGCATCAAGTCCTGTTCTTAAAAATTCATTCATTTAATTTCATGGAAGAGACAGATCGTATCCTTCTGAATGAGTAACTGGTTTTTAGTCATATTGCTTAATTTGTTCAGCATGTTTCTAATGGGCAGATATCAACATGTTATTCAAGGGCCTGAATGCCCCACTAGACTTTGGTTCCAATAACATTAAATATGCCTCAGAGATAATTTCTGAAGTGGATGAGACATATTGCTAAGGAAACAGTCAAAGCTACACCATCAATGATGGGCAGTTAAATTCATTAAGTGACAGCAGGTGGGGGGCAGAACCTGGTTGCCTTAATTAGGATTCTCATTTAAATTTGCAAGTGGCTTTACAGTCTGCAAATAGCTCCCCCTCTCTCACACTACAACTACTTGCATGTTTTTCCAATTGAAAACTGGCTGTATATTCCACACACATACAGGGCTGGCTTCAGCATTTGAGCGCTATCTCTGCATTGCCTTTTGACTGGTCCAGTTGCATGCATTCAGTCCTCTCTGGTCCTGATCCTACCTCTAAGTGGCACTAGGAGAGTATCCTCTGCAGACCCTTTAACATGTAGAGTTCCTCAGGGGGCACTCCTCTCCCTGATGTTATTTAATATCTATATGCACCCCCTCGTCCAGCTGGCACAGAGTTTCAGGCTTGGGTATCTGTTATCGGGCAGTTGTATCTGTTATTGAAAGGCCACCCAACTACCGCCCCACATAATTTGGCTGTGGGTCTGGAGGCCATGGTGGGGTGGTTAAAAAAGAGCAGGCTGAGATTGAATCCAACAAAGATGGAGATTCTGTGGCCGGGGAGGTCTTCAGGGCTGAGGCATAGATTTCCCGCTCTTGATGTTGATATCGGCACAGTCCATCAAGAGTTTGAGCATGATGTTGGATGTCTCTTTGACTATGGAGGCCCAAGTCATTTACATTGCCAGGTTGGCATTTCTTCATCTGTGCCAGGCTTGGCAATTGGCCCCTTTCTTGTTGTGCCCTGACCTAGCCATGGCAATCCATGCAATCGTCATCTCCAGGCTAGACTACAGTAACTCACTTTACGCTACCTTGCCCTTGAGACTGAACCGGAAGCTCCAGCTGATCCAAAATGCAGTGGTGTCAGTCCTGACAGGAACGTCACGAATGGCACACATACAACCTGTGCTGCGCCAGCTACACTGGCTCCCAGTGCAATACCAAATTAGGCTCAAGGTTTGGCTACACTGGCTCCCAGTGCAATACCAAATCAGGCTCAAGGTTTTGGTGTTGACCTTTAAAGGCCTTGAGCAGTCTGGGACCCATGTAGCTACAGGACTGCCTCCTCTGGTATGTTTCTGGGAGAGCATTACACTCCGCTGATAAAAATCTGCTGGTGATCCCTGGCCCCAAAGATGTCTGGCTGTCTTCAACCAGGGCCAGGGCCTTCTTGGTCCTGGCTCAGACCTGGTGGAACTCTGTTATGAATACCACCAGGGCCCTGCAGCATCTAATGCAATTCCGCAGGGACTGTAAGGCAGAGATGTTCCTCCAGGCTTTTGGTTGAGGACAGCAATGGTCTCCATCATGGCTGGCAGCCTCTCCTTTTCCTCCAGACTTGTTTTTGTGTTTCCCCTCCTCCCCTGCCCATGAGGTGACGGTGCAGTCCAGAATGGGAAGAAATGATATAGTCATGCCATCTTGGATTATTTTAAGTGTATTTGTAATTTATTGTTGTGCGTATTTTAATTTTACTGTGTTTATGTTTTATATATTTTGTACATTGCCCAGAGCCCTGCGTACGTAGGGATTGGGCAATTCGGAAATTGAAATTAATACTAATACTAATAATAATATGAGGAGGAGGAGAGATGGATAGATAGCACTACCAAGATGGCATTACATGGCACAATGTTGGCAACTGCCTGGAGAAAAAAAGATCCTGTCCTTTTTTATAGAGGCTTCATGGAATGTTATGTACCCCATGCTATGAAATGCTTCAGCTGCCTGTTTCCACATATTAAGCCTCTGTTAAACGGACAGGACATTTTTCTCAGGTCTGTCAGCAACTCCATAGGCATGCACTACCATCTGGAAAAAGTCCAGCTAAGATCACTACAATGACTGTCTTAATACTGACAGATTTAAAGGCATGCAAATTCTTTCTTCCAAATTTGCCTTCCTTTAAACTGCAACCAGTCTGAAACCAAGCATACCTGTGATTCCATCAGGCCATCCTTGCCCTGGTGAGAAAAATTACCCTTAAGAAAAATAGCTTTGATAGTAGAGTTATAAGTGGGTATTATTCCAGTGCAACATTTCAGAGGCGGCCAGTTTGCTGGGCATTTCTTTTGTGAAGCTAGTTCCTGAAGAGCGACTGTGTGCATGGGCCTGCTTGAAAACAAGCACTGTTCCTTCTCCAGTGACCTGTGGCTCTTTTGCCTTGTAGCATATCAAGCATCGTCTGCAAGGATTACGGGCAGGCTGGGTGGTTGAAGAAGACACCTTTCAGAGCTACACTCCTTATGGTTATCGAACGTTTTCAAATATCATCAGCACCCTCAACCCCTCTGCTAAACGCCATTTGGTGCTTGCTTGCCATTATGATTCCAAATACTTTCCACCACAGTGGGACAGCCAAGTGTTCGTTGGAGCTACTGACTCAGCAGTGCCCTGTGCTATGATACTGGAACTGGCACATTCCCTGGACAGACAACTTCATTCTCTTGAGGTATTTCATACTCTCTCCAGTTGGTTCTGCATTAACTGTGACTCACAACATGGTGTTTGACTGTCCCTTTTCTTCCATCCTCATTCCACAGCAGGCTGTTTCAGAACAGACACTGGATCTGTCCCTGAAGTTAATTTTCTTTGATGGAGAAGAAGCATTCGTGCGGTGGAGCCCTTCTGATTCTCTGTATGGCTCTCGGCACTTGGCCCGGAAAATGGCATCTACACCACATCCACCGGGTGCCATAAACACAAGTCAGATTCAGGGAATTGTAAGTGTGAGCTATGGGGGAGAATTAAAGTAATTGTTTCAGGCAACACTCCTAAAGCACTCTGTGAAACATTTAGCCTGCTTTCTGATCAGTACAACTGTCTGAAATTTTTTGAAAGAATGCCAGGGAAACACCAGTGCTCAAGGAACAGGGTGAGAGAGAGGCACCAACATGCCAGAAGTCTGTAGCTCAAATAAGTATGGACATACCTCTTTTGTTCTTCCATATAAGGGGTACCAATTTTGGCACAGTCCAGCCCAAGTTGAGCACTTTGTCATCAATGAGAAACAATCAAATATATGCTTCTCACTCGGTATTGTTTTCTTTGACTGGCAGCAGTTCTCCGTGACCTCAGCCAGAAAAGGATCTTTCTCAGTACCCATGGTCCTTTGAGTTGGAAAGGCTAGGGATTGAACCTGGGACCTGCACGCAAAGCAAGTGCTCCACCACCAAGCTATGGCCTCTCCCCAAACAAATACAGAACCCAAACTAAATGAAATTAATTCACTGCAGTTAACAGAACTGGACCAGAATTGTACCATGCTCTTTTTTATCTACCAATAAGCAGCCACTTGTTCCTCTCTAAGCAGCTCTCCACCATCAGTGAATCGAGAAACTTAAATGGCTATGATCATTAGGTGGTTTCTGGCCCAGAACCAGTTAGCTGCCAAAAGTTCCAAGAACATAAGCTTTTTGTTCAAACCATCCCTGCCCTCATGCTTCAAGATTTCATGGATGTGGAGAAACAGCTAAGAACCAGTGCACATCTTCTGAGAGCTCCTTGGGTCTACTATTGGTTTAGACTAGAGTCTGTAGTCTTACTACTGAGAAGTTTGTATAATTGTGGATACACTACATAATAAAAACATGTCAAATAGAATAGAAAACACTGTCTGAATTAAAACCAGTCGTGGAGGAGTACAATTACAGGGAAAGCCTTAGTCCTACAGGATAATGGAGTACAGTCAAAGGCCTCTATGCTTTGCTGGATTATTTCATCTAGAATGAGGACTAGGAATGAGCACAGACCGGAAAAATTGAGGTTAATGGTTCTTCAGTTTCATGAACTTCCATGGACTTTCCTAGTTTACAAACCAGTTTGTGGTTTGTGAGGTCTCTGAGGACCTGGAAGTGGGCTCAGCCCACTTCCTGGTCACACTGTCCCTGTGGATAGTGTGACCCTTCTGGATAGTGCCTCCTCTTCCGGATAGTTCCCCCACTACCAGTGTTCCCTCTAAGCTGAGTTAGTGTGAGCTAGCTCACAGTTTTTTAGCCTCCGGCTCACACATTTTTGCCTTCGCTCAGGAAGGAGGGCTCCGGAGCCAACTCATTGATGCAGCGGCCCAATCACCTGCTCACCACTTTAATGCCAGTAGCTCACAAGGTAGAATTTTTGCTCACAGGACTCCATAGCTTAGAGGGAACATTGCCCACTACCCTTCCGGATAGTGCCCCCACTGTGGCATAATCTGAAAATAGGTTCAGGGGGCATTTAAATGCCTCCTGAGTTCACTGGTGTCATGCTGCAGCCGTGGTGCAATCCCGAAGTGGGCTCAGAAGGCATTTAAATGCCTCCTGAGCTCACTCCTCACGGACCGCTCCAGCGAACCAAACGGACCTCCTAAAAAAAATTGCAGTCTGTGGGCAGTCTGTCAAAACAGCAAATGCACGGACCGGGCAAACAGACCACAAATCAGCCCCCAGTTCATGATGAAATTAGGTCCGTGGACTGGTCCATGCCTATCCCTAATGAGGACTACTGCAGGCAGCTTGCTTCTTTTCTAAACATAATTTAAATTTCTCAACATCTCATAACTTTTAATAAAGGATTCACTAAACCAGTATTAAATGTAGTCTATAGGAAGTTCTCAGTTTGGGGTAAGAATAATCTGAAGAAATACTCTTTGCTTAAGTTGTCAATAACCATGTGTGAAATTTGAATGCTGTGAGTATCTAAAAATGAGATTACCAGTGAATGTTGATGGTTATCTAAATGAGATTGTTAGCATTCACTGGTGTCTATCCAACATGAAATTCCTCTGGGATAGTCACAAGTTTTTGAATATTCACTGTACCATATCTACTGGTCTCTGAAAATAATATTTAAAGGGCTTATTTCTTTATTGATTTTATAGGATCTTTTTGTGCTGCTGGATTTAATTGGTGCTCGAAACCCAACCTTTCCGGTTTACTTTCTGAACACTGCTCGCTGGTTTAGGAGACTTGAAGCAATTGGTAAGGACAAACTATACACTGTATGAACAAAATGTTTTTTTCACCCATGGCCATTGGAAAATTACAAAACCAGCAATGGCCAGTGCAACTCCTATACATCCTAGCTTTTGGGGGGGTTTGGTGTTAAGTAAAGCTGATGAACCATTTTAAAAAGGTTTTCTTTGATTATCAAAGAAATAGATCCTCTTTTCAATGGCCAGCTTTATCCACATATGGTAGCAACGTTGTTGAGTTTTGGATTAAGATTCGTGAAAAATAGGAGGTAGGATGTGAACTCGAGATCCCTCTAAGGCCAGAAATATCTTTGTTGACCCATATGGCAGCATTTTCAAGGAGGATGCATGTAATTTTACCCTATTTAATTCCAGCAACAAAGATTGATTTTCCTAGACTTTGAAGGCAGAATTTAGCCCAAGTATACAAGACTGGATGGTTAAAATCAAGGAGATCTGTGTTAATTTAAGACTTTTTTACTAAGAGGAAGTTGCTTGACTCAACTTGATGCTCCATGGGGTTCTGTAATTAATTGACTGACATTATAATCTTTAACTGCTTTATGGTGTTCATTATTTTATTATGTTTGATTGCTCTTTATAAAAAAAAATATAAAACAAAACACTTGGGACTAAAGTAGGGACAATTCGCATGATACAAAAAAGTCCTCATGGCCACCATGAGGATTTTGTATCCCATGTGAATTGCGAGTTCTGTGTCTCCCCGGCATTTGAGGAGCTGTATTTCAATCATGACCACATCACGTGTGTAGAAGAAGCTTCTTTCTCCTCCACACACAAACTATTTCCCCAACCTGAAAGGCCTCCACGAAGCTGTTATATACTCTTTTTGGAAAGGTGTGTTGCCAGACCATGTAAGTTTCCTAGTGGAACAAACAGCAGCTTCCCAGGGCTGTTTCTTTCAGTTTGCAAAAACAGTGTGTGTGCGCACAGGTTGGAGGGGAGATTCTGAAGCCCCTTATCCACATGCACCATGTCTACAATAGGAGTACAACCTCCATATAACTGTGAGCAACAGGACTCCCAGAACACATTTGATACAAAGCCTGCATGGCAGCCATTAGGATTTTATCATGGGAACTGGCTCATAGGAATCCTCTCTGTGATATGAAAGCTGTAAGGAGAGCTCCTTCAGAGGGAGTTTCCACCTCCAGCATATAGTCTTTTTGTAGTGATTATATTGCTGTCACTGCTTAAACCTTGCTGTTTTTACTGCAGAGCAAAACCTTCATGATTTGGGTTTGTTGAAGAAACACCCTTCTGAAAGGAAATATTTCCGTGGTGCATTACTGAGAGGACAGGTTGAAGATGACCACATTCCATTTTTAAGAAGAGGTAGGAAAGAAAACCTACATTTAATGTTCTCTAGTTAGTATAGTAGGACCTATACTGTTTTAGCAGTTAAGTAAATTTAAGTAATTGAGTAAATATCCATGAAAATATCTGAATGCTAGAGTTGGGAGCCAACATCAAGGGAAGGTCTTGGCCTCTGTGTTCTATCTGGTGGCCCACTGAAGCAACTAGTTGACCTCTGTGTGAAACAGGAAAGACTACTGGTGTGCTGTCTAAGAGATCCACTTGTAAAGTGGTCTTACTAAGAGATCCACTTGTAAAGAGGATAGAGCAGGTAGAGAAAAAAGTACTTTTCTCCCTTTCTCACAATGCAAGAATTCATGGGCACTCAATGAAATTGCTGAGTAGTCGGGTTAGAACGGATAAAAGGAAGTACTTCCTCACCCAAAGAGTGATTAACACATGGAATTCACTGCCACAGGAAGTGGCGGTGGTGGCTACAAGCATCGACGGCTTCAAGAGGGAATTAGATAAACTAATGGAGCAGAAATAAGAACTGAAATATACCGGGTTCAAGACACGTATAGTGATCAGCTCATAGTTTATTAGTGAATCAGCTCAAACAAAGGACAACTCTAGCAGGACCGGAGCCCTGCTAATAAGCCCGTAAAATGGCACACCAATCACACACCCACTCCCAACAATAGGCTATTTACACAGTCATTGCATCCTAATTGGTGGCTGCCAGGATCCTGATGGTCTGTTGTTTTATCTCCCCAAGCTCACCCTTCCTCTGACAGCAGTGCGTTGCAGGGAAACTGTATCAGTACATAGCACACACACACACCTAAGTTCTGAAACCCCTAACTGTCCTCAAGGTACGCTGGCTTGCGCCGCTCTCTTGCGAGTGCTGGTGCTCCTGTAGTGATGGCGCCGGTGCCCAGGCTGGGCTCTGGGAGGGGAGGACCTCTCTGGAGTCCTGTCATGCTGTAACCAAGGCCAGGGCTCCGGTGCAGCTTGTGCGGGGTTCTCGGCTGCTCGGCATTAAAAGCATTCCGGGGTTGTGCTGTCGTGTGGAGGAGGCTCACCCTATGTTGGTGGTGATACAGGTTCTGGGCTGCCATCCTCTTCCTCAGCCAGGTCCAGTTCCTCAGGCAGCAGGTGGCAGCGTAGCTGGTCAATGTGCCATCATAAAAGTTGGCCCCCTTCTGTAGAAAACTCATACAAAAGAGGTCCAGTTACTTGGGTCACCCACGCCAGAACCCACGCCAGACCGCTGACATAGTTCCGCGTGAAGATGGGGTCACCTGGAAAGAACCCACGGGGGGCCTCCTGACTCACTGGGGAAGGGCGTAACACTGGGGCCCAGTCAGGGTGAAGGCGGTCCAGCTGTGTCATGGGGCTGCGGCCCATGGATGTACTCAGGGTCATTCTGTGGCCGAACAGGAAGACATCTAGCTGGCGGTTCCAGTCTCCATGGGTGAGCCGCCGGAGAGCATCCTTAGTGGTTCGCACCATTCTTTCGGCTTGGCAGTTGGTCACTGGGTGGAAAGGAGCCAACCACACATGTCGGATAAGATTCTGTTCCAATAACTCCTAGAACTCCCCAAAGGTGAAGGCCGTGCCATTGTCCATTACCACCGTGTCCGGCAGGCCTTGTGTGCTAAAGATCTGCCTCAGAGCCCAGATAGCAGACCAGGATGAGGTGGAAGTGACTGGCACAACTTCCAACCATTTGGTATACGAGTCCACTAGGATAAAGAATATTTGCCCCTAGAATGGGCTGGTGAAGTCCAAATGTAGCCGGGCCCACGGTTTGTGGGTGGACTCCCACTGGTGCATGGGGGTCTTCGGAGGTTCGGGACGTGTCTCCTGGCATGCCTGACAATGCTGGACCCAAGTCTCGGTTTCACGATCCATCCCTGGTCACCATATGTAGTTTCTGGCTAGTGCCTTCAGCTTCACAATCTCTGGGTGGGATTTGTGCAGGGCTCCCAACACCCTTTTTCGCAGCAGTGGGGGAACCATCACCCGGCTTCCCCAGAGTATCCAGTTGAAGACAGCTGGAAACTCGTCACACATGTTTCTGCAGTCTGTGGACTGCACATGGTGCACCCCCATTACTTTGAACCCCAAGGGTGCAAACCAAGACAGCCCAAGCAAGCTGGTGAGCCGCCCTTCCACCACCAACAAGTCCAAGTGCCCCTCAAAGTGCCGGTACTGCACATGGAATTTGCCCCACCCCTTAATGGCCACCTCGTTCTTCTGAAAGTTCCAGAGGGTGAAGCTCGCGGGCCTCAGGTGGGGACCCCCTTGTGGACAGAGCCTCCTGAGAGTCTCTTCCGAGATGATGGAGATGAAGGACCCTGTGTCCAGTTCCATCTTCCCCTCTATAAACACAGTCACTTTAATTTTGTCTGGGATATCCCGGAGCAAATTCAGTATCTGATGTTGGTGGACTGTCGCAGTGTGTAGATCATCAGACTCCTGGTGCATGGTGGTGTGTCTCCAGGCTCCCTTAGAGCGGCAAGCACGTGTGATGTGGCCGGTCTCCCAGCAGGCCCTGCAGGTTGCATCACGGAAATGGCAGGAGCGATGTTCGTGAGCTTCTCCGCAGCTGGCGCAGGGATACGATGCATTGGTCTTTGCTGGTTGAGCAGGAGCGGCCATCGATCGTGAACTGCGGCAAACCGGGCAGTGGACTTGGTGATGCCTCCAAAGCCAAGGGAACAGATGCCTGGTGTGCAGCGGGGGTTTGACGGTCTTGCTGAGATTTCTCGAATGCTGTGGCCTTGCAAAATGCCTTCACCAGGGTGAGTTCTTTCAGCCTGGTTAGCTTACGGCGGAGTTTCGGCTCCCGAAGGCCCATCATGAACCAGTCTAGGAGGGATTTGTCCAGGTTCACGAACTTGCAATTAAGGGCCAGCCGGCGCAGGTTGGCCACGAAGTCAGTGCCATCTCGTTAGTCTGTTGTTGGCACATAAAGAAGTCTACGTGGTGCACCATCTTTGTGGGTTTAGGCACGAAATGGTCGGTTAGTGCCTTGAGGAGGGCTTCGTACGTGGGCGCCTTCAAGGTGATGGGCGCAATGAGGCCCTGAACTAGCCTTAGGGTGGCGATTTCACAGGTGCTGAGCAGGAGAGCCTTCTTGCCTGTGTCATTGATGCCCTGGAACAGGATGTAGTACTTCAGCCATTCTACCCAGGTTTCCCAAAGCTCTGGGTACAAGGGGTCGAACTCTGGTAGTTGTCCTAGAGCAGCAGCCATGGTCCCGGTAGCGATGTGATGCGTGTGGCTCTGGAGCTCAGGGTGCGATATGGTGCTGGTGGGTGCTGGGCTGGCTCAACAGGATCCCACCTTCTCGCCAGTGAAATATACCAGGTTCGAGACGTGTATAGTGATCAGCTCATTGTTTATTAGAGAATCAGCACAAACTAAGGACAACTCTAGCAGGACCAGAGCCCTGCTTATAAGCCCGTAAAATGGCACACCCATCACCCCCCCACTCCCAACAATAGGCTATTTACACAATCATTGCATCCTAATTGGTGGCTGCCAGGATCCTGATGGTTTATAGTTTTATCTCCCCAAGCTCACCCTTCCTCTGGCAGCACTGCATTGCAGGAAAACTGTATCAGTACATAACAAGAACATAATAACATAAGAGAAGCCAATCTTGGATCAGGCCAATGGCCCATCCAGTCCAACACTCTGTGACACAGTGGCCAAAAATACCAGGTACCATCAGAAGGTCCATCAGTGGGGCCAGGACATCTATCAGTGGCTATTAGCCACAAGGTATAAAAAGGAACTCCGGGGCAAGTGATGCTCTGTATTCTTGGTGCTTGGGGGGGGGGCAACAATGGGAGAGCTTCTAGTGTCCTGGCCCCACTGATGGACCTCCTGATGGCTGGACTCATACTCTGTCCTGCTGCTTCAGACCAGTACAGCTACCCCACCTGAATTTATTAAGATCCAGTTCAAATAACTAACAACCTCAGTGATTATCTCTGTTTTTCAGCCATAACAGTTCCATTTGTGAGAAATAGATCAGTTCACTTGTACACCCCCTAGCAGAAGCTGCCAGATTCCATGCTATCACGAACCACCTCATTGCAGTTGGTGGTGGGGTACAAAAGTGACAGTTTATGTTGATGGCAGACAACCAGGAAACTATGAGCTATAGATGCAGAACCAAAAGGTGGTCACAGTCCCCTAGTTGTCTAACATAGCTCCAATCTGAAAATTCAGTCATTTATCACTGACCTAATATTTCAGGTTTACAAATCTATTGGCCACCTCCTTACTTTGCTTGCCAGAAACCAGTGCATTCAAAAAGCAAACAGGCTGTATCAGAGGAATCTCCAGTCTTTCACTTGTGAGAAAGCACTCTCCATATTTTTTCCTTGGAGGTGTGCAGTAAGGAAAATTACAGCAAAGCTCTCTATGTATGTACAAGAAATAGTGCACTTCCTAAGCAGCTACACCCTTCTAAACTCGTTGGCTTCAATAGATTTACATCCTTCTAAGTCTACATAGGATCTCATTGTGAGCATCTTTGCGGCATCAGCAGCTAGAAAATGAATCCCCTTATTTCTGCTCACACCTATTTGTGTGATCATAAACCTCTAATTCTGATATAGCATCACTGAAGAGAGATGTGGTAAGTACTGCTACAGCAGAGACGTCTGTAGAGAGAAGAGGGATAGGGAAAGTAAGCAGGCTAAGGACTTAAAATGTGAGAAGAATCAACTGTGAAGGCATAGGAAAAGAGGACAAAATAAGAAGGAAGATTAGGAAGAGGCCAGAGAGCCAATGAAAGGAGGAAGCATGTGCAGAACAGAAAACAAAGCCGGCTAGGAGGGAAGGTAGGGCTGCCCTGGGTTATATAGTTCAATTTCTATACAAACTTGTAACATTTGGTAGCATGACTATAATTAATTAAATCAACACCTTCGGCAGATTAATCACAGGGAGCACATTTTTGTCCCCAGGACTGCAAGGTACGGGCCCACTTGGTTCTTTTCAGAGGCTGTTTTGGTTGATGTATCATTGAATTAAACTGAAAAGATTAAAAATGGGCATTCAGTCTGATCCTATAGTATCTCTTGAAAAATCCCAGAGAGGTAGCTATATTCGCTTATTGTACCAAAAACAACTGAATATTGTAACACTTGGTATTCCAGCGGGTGTGTTGAGGCACAAGCTTCTGTGGACTTTGATCTCACTAAAACCTGAATTCCTAGCTCACTGCAGAGAGTAAAGGATGGTCCTTAGGTGTTTGTTTACATACACTATTGATCTTGTTATCTCACTCCTCCTCTGCAGTAGCTACCTGGAAATAGCTCACACCCACAAAATGGAGCTTACTCATTCGATTGGATTCTTTATTCATTTGTACAAAATGGCAACACAACCACAAGCATCACTTGTATCATTTCACCTTTTGACCTCATGTTGTGAAACAAAGTTCTTCACTATATGCACTGAGGTGATCACGTCATGTATTTTTAGGACATAGGCTCTGATCCATGGAAGTTTATACTACAGTACATTTGCTAGCCTTTAAGGTGCCACAAGTTCCTTTATCATATGACCTTTTGTTTATTTAATTGTAAAGTTATGCCTTCAATTTCCTAAAAAAATTATTTTAAATAAACACATTTAAATTTCAGCAGTTGATTGGAATAAAGCAGATGATTAACTATTTAATTGGTTATTTGCTGTTTTCGCCGGCTGGAGTACCTTAAAGAAGCTGTTTCCTATGTTAGAAGACAGAGTTTAACTCCCCTTGCCTATACACTGTAGGAAGGAAGGGAGCATGGATTTCTCAGTCCTATTTAATGTGATCCTCAGAATAAGACACAGTTTAACCGGTATCCCATATGGGTTCCAATACTGGAAACTAGTTTTCCTTCTTTATGTGACTGTCAGTTTCCCCACATTCTTAATAGCAGTAGGCCTTAGGATAGTTAGATAGATATATATGTAACACTCGCTACACCTACAGTAGCTTCCGCAAGGGCTTAATCCTCACTGTCTCATTCTTTGTCCTCTATTCCTACCAGGGGTTCCAATCCTTCACTTGATACCAGATCCTTTTCCTAAAGTGTGGCACACCATGGCAGACAATGAAGAAAATCTCGACAAGCCGACCATTGACAACCTCAACAAAATTCTACAGGTCTTTGTGCTAGAGTATCTCAACGTGGCTTGACAACATTCTTGGTGTCACCAAATGGCCTCTCGGTCTTAAATACTACCCTAGACCATAAATTAGTTATTCCCAAGAACAGGCGTCCAGTTTATTTAGGAATAAAATATTCTCCTTGCCCTAGATGGCAATTGGAACAGAGACTATTCTTCATAGTTCAGTACTGATATAGAAGGTTTTTAATGATTTCTTCCAAAGAAATGTATTGATGAGAGAACCCAAAGTTCATTATGACAATCAAGGTGAAAAGAACCCGACTTAACACCAAATTCTGTTGCAGCAAAAGCAAGCGTTAAATAAAAATTGTCCCTCATTTCTCATTGTAAGAAGAAATAAATAAAGTGTCTTAATTTGCTCTAGACACTAATGCTTTTAAAACAATTTGAGTGGTGTGCTGTTACAAAGAGCTACAAATACACCGTTTTCTTTCTTTTTTTAAATTCAGAGGGGAGAAATCTGAGCACACTGGTATGAGAGTACACTAGGCACTCACATCCATAGCTACTGCAACAGCAAATGCTGTTGTGGATTATTTCCTGCAAAATGCTTCTGACCTAGTGAATCACATGGCCTGCTCTGCTGTTGGAGTTCACGCTATTCATGTCCCACAGATCATTCTGAAGCAAGCTTCAGTTCCCAAGACGCACACTTCGCACAGGGTCCTATTAACAAGGAACCCTGAGTTTGGATTAGAACTGTGCATGTTAGAAAAATGGCACAGAATAAATCGTGCCATAGCTGAAGTTAGTACATGATGCCATTAATAGTGGAAAGATAATTTATCAGAGACAATGGTTCAGCCCAGTGCAATCACCTTATTAACCTTCAGCCCAACTCCATCACCTTATTAAACTTTGAAGGCAATAATTTTGTTGATAGTTTAAACTCAATTCCATTGACTCTATAAACTCACTTTTGCATTGCACGATCTGTAGTTTTCATATCATTATAGTATATAAGCCACACTGATGTGATAGGTCAGTTTTATTAGCCCACTTTAGCAGAAGCAGCACGAATTGTGGTTTGGCTATCACAGGTAAAGCATCCTTTCAGTCCTTTCTTCCACCTGGCAGTGTAACTTTCCCACAAGTAAGACATTGCATTTTGACTCATCTTTTGACTCGTTTTCTGTCTCCTCCCATCTAGTACATATAGCAACTGCTGGGTGGAAACATACTACTTAGGATCTAAAGTAGCAGGTGCAGAACTTTCTTACAAACTTTGAAGGCAATAATTTTGTTGATAACTTAAACTCAATTCCATTGACTCTGTAAACTCACTATAACTATTGCAATGCACAATCTGTAGTTTTCATATCATTATAGTATATAAGCCACACTGATGTGATAGGTCAGTATTATTAGCCCACTTCAGTAGAAGCAGCACGAATTGTGGTTTGGCTACCACAGGTAAAACATCCTCCTCTGATTTCCTTTCAGTCCTTTCTTCCACCTGGCAGTGTAACTTTCCCACAAGTAAGACATCGCATTTTGACTCATCTTTTGACTCGCTTTCTGTCTCCTTCCATCTAGTACATATGGCAACTGCTGGGTGGAAACACACTACTTAGGATCTAAAGTAGCAGGTGCAGAACGTTCTTACCTAACTTCTGATGCAGCCCACTGTGCCTCCAAACCCACTGCCCCCAGGGACAGTGCTGAGGGCAATATAGGACTACTTAGGATCTAAAGTAGCAGGTGCAGAACTTTCTTACCTAACTTCTGATGCAACCCACTGTGCCTCCAAACACACTGCCCCCAGGGACAGTGCTGAGTGCAATATAGGGGTCTGCAGTGGCAGGGAAGAATCATTAAAAAAAATCACACACACCCTCCATTAACAGAAAACAAAGGTTACATTTAAACGGTGGTAAGCAATCATATGAACAGTGTGACCATTAAACAGTTCATACATTTGAGTTGTAAGACCTTGCTGCCATAAGCACTGTTCATGGAAGTACACATCCCTATATACTTACAACACTGGGTTTTAGAATAGATAAGGGGTGGCATTTCAGAAGGTACCCTTAATTTGAATTAATCCCATTTCCTACACTTTAAAATGTTTAGGACACCCCCAAATACAGGTTTGATTGATAGCATTCCAGTCATGGTTTTTAGTACTATTACATTGTTATTAAAGATAGAATTAGTAGGCACATTGAAGAACAAAAACTATTGAGAAAGAATCATCATGGATTCTGTAAGGGAAGATCATGTCTCATTATCCTTTTAGAGTTCTTTGAGAGGGTGAACAAACATGTGGACAAGGGTGACCCAGTAGATGTTTACCTAGACTTCCAGAAAGCTTTTGATAAAGTTCCTCATCAATGGCTCCTAAGTAACCTCAGCAGTCATGGGATAAGAGGACAAGTCCTTTTGTGGATTAAAAACTATTTAACAGGAAACAGAGAGTGAGTAAAAATGGACAGTTTTCACAGTGGAAAGTGGTAAACAGTGGGGTACCGCAGGGCTCAGTACTAGGTCTGGGGCTTTTAAACTTTTTCATTAATGATTTGGAGTAAGCAGTGAAGTGGCTAAATTTGTGGATAACACTAAGTTATTCAGGACAGCAAGAACCAGGGAGGACTGTAAAGTGCTGTAGAGGGATCTGTCGAGGCTGGGTGAGTGGGTATCAGTGTGGCAAATGAAGTTCAATGTAGGCAAGTGCAAAGTAATGCTCATTGGAGCCAAATATCCTAATTATAAATATATGTTGATGGGGTCCGAACTGGCAGTAACTGAACAGGAGATCCTGGAGTCATGGTAGAAAACTCACTGAAGACGTTGACTCATTGGGCAACTGCAATAAAAAAGGCAAATGCTATGCTGGGGATTATTAGGAAGGTGATTGAAAACCAATCAGCCAGTATCATAATGCCCCTGTATAAATCTATGGTGCTGCCCCTAAAAAAACAACAACATTGTAGCATTGGGAAAGGTGTAGAAAAGGGCAACTAAAATGATTAAGGGGATGGAAAACCT